TCTTGTGCCTTTGTCACCGAATCCCTCTGATTTTCCCAAACGTAAAGAGTGCAGGAACAAAGCTGGCTCGGCCCTTCACACTGCTTTTCCACGTAGCCGTTTGTGATCTTAACATGGCTCTGAATGTCCGTTTCCCAACCTGAAAATGGAGATAGTAATACTGATATTGTGGAGTCGTCCCTAGGATGACATGAAACAAAGCCCCTGGCAGGCAACTCAGTTCCTGGCTCCTCAGGAGTGCTGACTAAGCGTGAGTTCCCTCCCCTGGCTCGATGCCCTCCACCTCCGTGACACGTTAGAAGCCCACCGTGTGTTGGCCTTCCTTTCGTGTGGCCTGCCCTCGGCCCATTTTCAGATCAGCCAATGCAGCCATGACCGGCTGGGACCATTTTTCATCCAACTGCTCTCATTCTAGCAGTTTCATGTGGCCTCTCTCTGTAAATCAGTCTGGGAAAATAAATTGTCCCCGATCCATTAGTGCCTTTCCATCACAAGCCAATTTGAGCCACAAACCAGAGACAAGGCTTGTTAATGGCCACTTGAATATATTTCCGCAGCCCAGCCTGGAGACCCTCAGCCTCAAATCCTCCCAGCTCCTGTCCAAGAAAAGCCCCACTGTGACAAGACTTCTGGCAGCAAAGGCAGTTGCGGGGGGCGAGGGGAGGGACCGTGTTCCCTGGTTTGCCTAAAACAGTCCCAGTCTGCTCCTGCTGTCCCGGAGTAACTATGAATAGTGCCCCTTTAACACCCCCAAAAGTTCCAGTTTGAATGAGACACCAGATGGAAACCAAGAATAATAATGTAATAATAGCTATCATTTATTGACCACTTGTATATGCCAGGCATCACCAAAAAGGTCTTTCTACGCTGTATCTCATTTAAACTCGATTACAACACTGTAAAGGGAGGTGCTATTCTTATCTCCATTTTATAGACCAAGAAGCTCAAGTTTAGAGAAGTAAGCGACACATTCAAGGTCAGCCAGCATACAGGGCGATCGATATCTGTGCCACATTCAGACCCCTTTTGCCTGGGCAGCACACCCATCCCCCGCCTGCTGGGAGTGCCGGGCCGCTCAGGGCTCAGTGCAGTGCCCCAACCCCCTTCCCTCTTCTGGAGGAACAGCGCTCAAACAGGAGTCACCATTGCCTGAGAGGCTCCCTGCCCCCACTAAGAAGGCGTCCCACAGCCCAGACCTGACTGACGACAGGGGGCCAGAGGGCGTGGGGAACACAGAGACTTCCCCTATTGCTGTGAGGTCAGACTCTAAGGTATAATTCATGCCCCAGAACTCCTGGCGGGATCCCGGGCAGATGAAATCCTTGCTTAGCTCCTCCCTTGTCCGGCTCCCCTTATGTCCCTTTCCCCAAACGCACCCCCTCAATCAACCCTTAAGAGAGCAGCCTTGTGTCTGGCTCTGCCTCTAGGGGGCAAGACCCACGACCTATGGTTAGCAAGAGATGGGGCTGGGACTCCTGTCTAGGAAGGTCTCAGTCTTCATCAAAGAGCAAACGTAACATGACGTCGCCTGTAATATCCACGTGACTAAAATGACGGCCTCCAAGTCCTCAAAGAAATAAGTCCCACAGGCACAGACAGGACAACAGAGGTGGCAACAGTCACAACAACCACTCCTCATTTAGTGCCAGTCTCATTTTTGCATCTGATCCTCTCAACAACAGGAGGTTCATCTTGTCTGCGTTTTGCACTTGGGGCGTGGCAAGCTTGGAGAGGCCGAGATGTGTCCACCGAGGCCACACAGATACAAAGTGCTGAGGCTTGGGCCTACCTCCGGATTCTTCGCCTTCCAAAGGCCACGTGCTGTTTCCGCACGGCCACTTAAGTAGCTTGCCGTGTAAACTGCTCAGTGAACGGGTGACGGGACCGGTTCCCCATCAAAGCTGATGCTCTTGTCACCAATTAGAAGACTCTGTAATCCCTCCCGCCCTGCACTCCCCAGAACGGTTCTTTCTGAGCTGCATCTGACCAGTATGTCTCCCTTTGGGGAGAAAAGCCCTATTACTTTGGAACTAGCCAGAGAATGTTCTCTTAAGTCAGACATAAAAAAAAAAAAAAAAGTCAAAGGAGCCATATTCACTGAAGAAGGGAAGGAAAGCAAGCTGGCACTGCATTGCCAAAGGTCCAGAGAGGTAAATCACACTTCCTGTGGCTCTCCCACAGAGGGAGACAAATGGAATAAAACAGCAGACGAAGATTCAGATCCTAACTGTACTATCTGTGTGATGTTTTTAGCAAATTACTCAACATCTCCAAGCCTCAATTCGCTCCAGTATAATATCTATCTTCTTGCACCATAAAAGAGACGGGGTAAATGGGATCAAACAGGCATTTCCCTGAACCTTTTCTCTTCCATTCCCATACAACGTATGGAGTAACCAACTTGGACCCTCATTCCAGGTCTGAATAATACTAGTTCAGACAGAGTCTGCTTTATTCCCAAGCAAACAGCATATCCTACTTGATGATAAAAGGTTTCCATTAAAAACAGAGAGTACATAAAAGGGGGACCTTCATCCAGGAAGCCATCAGCTGATTCATAAAAACACAGAATGAGTCATCCTGGCTCCCAAGGCTAAACTTACAATCAGTGGGCATCTTTGGCCTGCCAATCCTAGCCCAGTGTAGGAGGAAAGACCCAGCGGGCAATCTTCACAAACCTACTTCAATCCCCCCCTTGCAAAACCGATGAACTCTGCTTCCAGCTTGGGGAAATGAAAATCAATCTGGGCCCTTTGCCATACCGGATTCCAAATGTTGCCCCATGTCTGGCTGGCTTACTGAACAACTAGGGTGGGGAATCTGCAGTGATTCCAGAGAGTGTGTGTGTGTGTGTGTGTGTGTGTGTGTGTGTGTGTGCGCGCGCGCGCGCGCGCGCAGCTCCAATAAAAAACAGGCTTGTGCATCTGGCTTTGAAAATCAATCTCCTGGCTTTCATCTTGACATTTATTATTTCAAAATGCTTCAGTTCCTATCAGCCTCTAGGCAATTAGCATAAGACTAGAGAACCCAGACCTATTTGTACTGCAAATGATGCTCTCTTCTTTAAAAAGTAGCTTCGACATTTTTACCCTCTGAACATCCCCTCTGATGAAGTCCTAGAACCCAATTTGGATGAAGGGGCATAAACTGTAGATACACATAGGCATCTATACCATATTTCTCATCAGTGGTGAAGAAAGGAGCATTACCAATAAATACACAGTTTGAGTTTTGCAAGCCAGACGTTCTTTCACCGGCAAGTGAAGAAAAAGAAACACTCTACCCTCCCTGTCCGAGCGTCTTTTCTCAATCCATTCCTTCAGCAATAACTTAGTCCGTCAGCAGCAACTGATGCGGGACACACTGTGTTCCAAGCACTGTGCTAGGCATTGGGGATTTATTGGTGAAAAGGGCCGACGTAAGCTCTGCCTTCTGGGATCAATGTGCTTGGTTCAGCAAGAGTTAACAAAATAGAACTACACAGGATTCCCCAGTCTGCAAAAGCCTCTTCCCTTACCCTGAATTCCCAAAAGTCATGTCTGGAGTCGACTGTGACCAGCTACATGTATGAAGAGTGAGTCAGGGATCAGTGCCTGCTTCTCTTGACAGCCACCTTCCAGCCTGCCATGGAGTCCTGCACCTGCTCTCATGGTAGCTACTGGGAGGAGAATCTCCTTTGCGGTGTTTTTTTGTTTTTTGGGGTTTTTTTTTTTTGTGGTTGTTGTCTTGCCTCTGCGTATGTCCCCAGAGTCTAGGTCTGGGATTTAACCTAAGAACAGGTAGGCTGACTGCTGCTTTCGGGGGGGGGGGGGGGGGGGCGGAGAGCAGTGACTGCTGGGGACTTTAAAACACAGACATGAGAGAGAGTAAGTCCGTCTCACTGTGCTGAGGGCAAGTTCCCCTTGGGAGCTTCCCATGCTGCTGCATGAAGAACTCAGAGTGTTGGATCCAGTGAACCCTTTGGGTTGAGCCCTCCCTCCTAGAACTTCAGAGAAAGGATCATAGTGACAGCACACAGAGAGGCTTAAGCACTCCAAGGGGAATCCCAGGCGGGCCTAACTCTGAAGTTCCCCCAGGAGGAGTGGGGAATAGGAAGGGTACTCCGACTGCTGAGCTCCCTTTGAGATGGGGGGGGGGGGGGTGGGAGAAGATGGCCAGTTGTTTGCTTTTCCTCTTCGGAAAAGCACAGAAGAAGAGAAGACGCTGGCGGGGAAGAGCGAGCCTTGGCCTCACCCCTGACCAAGCTCAGATGCTCCAGGACCTAACCCCCCCGCCCCTGCCCCTGCTTCCCAGTGCCTTTCCCCATCCCCGGGTGCCAGAGGAGCGGAGTGCACCAGCGGGGAGGGAGAACGCACCTCCCCAGCCCTCACTCTGTCGCCAGACCCGGCAGCACTACAGCATAGAGGCTTAAAAAGAGTGAGTAGGAAATCCTGGCCAGGTCAGTTAGCGGCGGCAGGGAGACCTTGGGCAAATCGCTCTTTCTGCGCCCCGGTTTCCTCGCATGAAACGCCGGACAATGACGGTCCCTAACTCGTTGGGTCGCAGGGAGTATTCAATAAGATCGCACACCTAAAACTCTAAAAATGATGGCTGGCACACAGTCCTCCAACGGTTATTATTATTCTTTAACCGTGTTACCAAACTCCCTCTCCCGGCAGCTCAGCTGTCCTACCCGACGGAGAGCCCCCCGCCGCGCAATCTCCCAGACCCCGGGGCGCTGGGCGCCACCATCCACCCCGTTCCTCCCCGCCGAGAGCTCACAGTCCCCTCCGGTCACCCCTAGACCCGGCTGGGAGAGGGCGCGGGGCCACCTCGCGGCATCCTCCCCCGCCTCCGCCGGCCGCCGGCCGCGGGGAGGCTCGGGGACCCGCGGGAGGGCGCGGAGGGGGCGCCCACGGCCACTCTTCCCCGCGCAGCGGCCGCGCCGAGGCTCCGCCACCCCCGCCCCGGGAGCGCCGAGCGCGCAAAGAGAGAAAGCGAGAAAGACGCGGATACTGGACCAGGCTTTGACGCGGATCTTGAGCTCGCCGTCCTGCGGCTCGGGCATGGCCTTCCTGGTGACCCGCAGCTTGTTGAGCCCCCCGAAGCCGGCCAGCACCACGGCGCGCATCTCCTGGGCGTCCCCGAGGCGGTGAGAGCCGCCGCCGCCGCCGCCCTCCGCAGGCTCCTTGCCTGCCTCCTTCTCGATCATTTGCTCCGTCTCCTCCGCCTTCTCCACGCCTTCCTTGGCCATGGCGCACGGGGGGCGCGGGGCGCACGGGCTGCGGCGGCTGCGGCGCGGGGGGCTCGGGCTCCTCTCCCGCGGGTTCCTCCTGTTGAATGTGGGATGCTCCGCTGTGCAATGGCTGCAGCCTCCGCGAGCCGCGCTAAGGGCCACAGCCTCCGCCGTAATCCTCGCAAGAGCCGCGCCCCCGTCCGCCCCACCCCTTCACCCCGCCACCCTCGCTCCCCGCCCCCCCCCCTCCCTGCCCCAGCGAAGCCTCGACTCCACTTCCAGAGCCGGTCTCAAATCGGGCTCCTGATCGCAGCCCCAGAGCCCAGACTTGCCCAAGACTCGTGAATAAAACACGCAGAGAGGACGCCGTGTCCTCGGCGGGCGGCGCAGTACTTTGTTATTTACGGCGCAGGCTCGGCGCCTTGAAATGGACAGAGTCGAACGTCTGGGCCTGGAGGATGCCTCCCGGAGACACGGTTGCCTCCTCCCGCACGGATCTGCGGGGGCAGGCGGGAGAGACGGGAGGTGGGGCTGTTTCCCAAATCGCAGGTACCCGCTGGAAGGGCAAAAAGGTTCGGGAAGCGGGAAACGAGAAATCCCACTTACTCCCCTGAAGAGTCTAAACCAGGGTGTTTTTCACTCCAGACTCTCGGGTTCAGCGCGCGGATGCTCTTTAAGGGGCATCACCAGGAGCCTCTTTTGATGGCTAATTCTCACCACCCGCACCATTTCCAGGTACCAAAGAGGCTTCAGAAAAGAATCCTGTACCAGAAAAGGGTCCCCTTTTTGTTTTGATCACCAGAAGATCATTCTGTACTCTGGCCCCAACACACACACACACACACACACACACACACACACACACACTCCTCCCCGGTAACCGGCAAAATTTGGGGGTTTTGTTATGAGCCCTTTGAAAAGGAGCTTATAGAGAAACTTGAACTTTTTAGAAAAACGATGGGCAGGCGAGAGTGTTGGTGGGCTGTTAAGAGAAACCTTGTTGTGGAGGAGTGATGGATGTATATTCTATTACCGCGCAAACGCCGCCACCTTTGGGACCTTGGGCGACTCATTCAACCTTTCTGACCCTCAACAACTTCATCCATAAAATGGGTACATTAATTTTGTTTATTTGCATTGTGCTAGGTGCGGGGGTGGATAGGACTTTCAGTGACACATGGTCCTTCCCTTTAAGGAGTTTATTCTCAATCAGAAGGTGGGGAGGACACAGCCAAGAAATGGAAATGACACAGTGAATGGTGTAAGTGCCTCTCCTCCTTCTGTTCTCCCTGTGCCTCTGTGCTCTAAATGCTCTGGCCTTCTGTTCCTCAAAAATGGAACCACGTTCCCTCCCACCACCTGCTGTCCCTTGACCTGGAATGTATGTTGCAAGTCCTTCATCTGGTGTCATCGCCGACTTCACTTTCAACGTAAGCACCCGTTCCTTGTTTCCACAGGTTGGGTCTGCATCCTTTATGGTAAACTCTCATGGCAGTTTGTAATGAATTTTTTTATATGATCAACCTGCTAATTACTGTCTGTTTCCTTTTTTTGCACTGTGGGCAGGGGCGGTTTCTGCTTTCATCCAGCATGGGTTTCCCTGGGGCTCAGCCCCTGATTGGTGCACAGTCGAAAGTGCTCAGAAGAAAAAAAACCCTTGTTGAGTGAATGAATGAGTCAGTGAATACAGATGCTACTGTGGTAGCCCAGAGGAGGGAACTTGGCCTAGGAGATCCTCCTGGAGGTGCGGACGTTTGAGCCAGACCTTGAAGGATAAGCCAGGTTCCTCGGGGAAGATCACAAGTCCATTCAAACACATGGAAAGGTAACGGGTAAAAGGAGAAGACACTGTCTTGATCTGTATGGACTGAGCATCAGCTGGGGTTAGCAGTCACTGGAGGCTAGGCGGAAAGATTGCTTCAAACCAGCTCTTGAAGTGTTTCACGCATCACGTTATAAATTTTAAGACATAATCATGGAGGTGACGGTCGCCACTGAAGTCTTAGGAAAACAAAAGCCAGGGAATGGCATGACTGTGTTTTAGGATAATAACTTTGGCGGGAAGTGGGCGGGAGATGGGGTGATAGATTTACTGCAAGTGTGAGGGTCAGTCAGAGACTCTGGTGCACACACAGGCAAACAGAGAAGAGCCTCAGCCAAGGCGGTGGCTGGGGGATGGAGGCTGAGTAGACAAGGCTGGTTACTGCATTGAACACGTCACTGTAAACCCAATTACGATCCCAAATTAGGAAGCCTGTTGCTAACGTGAAATAGAGTGTTTAGGCTGCCTTCCATCCCGAAACAAGACTTTGACAGCAGACCCTTGTGGAGCAAGCTTCAGAGTGGCCCCGCCCAAGAAGCCAGGAAATGGGTATTTGTCACTGAATTTTCTGCATGATTGGCTAAGGGCCGTTCCTGGACACATGAGCTCCCTGGCACTTCCGACCTGCCCCGTGCACCTGGGCTAAGAGAATGCCTGGGGAGAGACCTTGGGATGCTCCCGGTAGGAAGCCATTGTCTTGTATAGGCAATGGTGAGTTAGAAAGGGATATGGGTTGAGGCTGATAACTTCCACACTATATGACATCATTTGGGGGTAGCTACTGTTCTGGACACGTTAGGTACGTTTGATTCTCAGAATAACTTTATTAGGTAAGCATTATTATTCCCACTTTATAGAAGAGAAAACTGAGTTTAACATCAATGCTCTTAACATCTCATCATGCATATTTCTTTGAACGGGCCACCCAGTTCAGCTCCTGAATAATAATACTCCATGGAATTTTTCATGTTCTCTGCTCATTTATTGGCCTCCTAATATCTCTGTCCTGCCAAAATTCCGTGCCTTCATTGTGAGGGTTTTCCTTTAGCATTAGTAAAGGAAATCTACTTTGCAGTCAGCACATAGCATGCTTCAGAAAAATTGTTTGCCTTACATGTTAAAGGAAATATAATTACTCCCTCCGAGGGAATCTTCTGGCTGTTTACAAACCCCAGATTATAAGTGGTATGCGGCTGATTGTCACAACAACGGAGAGGAAGCACACTACAGTCTGTGCTGCTTGGGGACGAAAACCTTCCTCTGAGTCCCATATACCACCATTTGGATTGTTAAGTATTCCCAAACCTGCTCCTCTCCGGTGGAATGTGGCAAGAGCCACGCTGCGAGGCACCTCTCCAAATCAACACACTAAATCTATTTTCAATTTGTAAAATGCATTTCTTGGGCGTTCACTCACTCAGAGCTTCAAGTTGTGAAAATAGCTTACGTTGTAGGCAACGTCAAACAGCGGCCACTTATGGTGAAACGCGGTGTTACAGCTCAGCTCTGTCCACTGGTATAGGGCCCAGGAACAGCTGTGATCACATTTGAGAAGGGTATAGAGGGTCAAATTTAGGAACCCCTCAAGGTACTGGCCATCTGAGGGAGTGGCCAACAGAAATGAGGTCTTTGAGTAAGAATATAGGGGACACAATCTTAGTACAATTTTGGGAATGGTTTTCTAAATAACTTGGGATGGTTCAGTAACTTTCTAGAGAAATATGTGACCTAGGACAAATGGTCAATGTCTTCAGCATATCCTTTGTTTTTTTCATATTTATCTATTCTTGAAAGACAGAGGTGGGGAGGGGCAAAGAGAGAGAGAGGGACAGAGGATCTGAAGTGGGCTCTCTGCTGTCAGCATAGAGCCTGACGCGGGGCTCGAACTCACAAACCGTGAGATCATGACCTAAGCAGCTGTGGGTCACTTAACCGACTGAGCCACCCAGGCTCCCCTAGCTATATCCTTTAATAATACTTCTTCTCTTGTATTTTCTTCAATATAATTAGGATCTTTTGGTATACACACATCATATTATTTAATCTACAAAGTAATCCTGTGCCATAGGGACTATGATCCCGATCTTACATGGGAGGAGATTTAACAGAAACTGCACATCTTTGCCAAGGTCACCAACTTAGTCTGTAGCGCTGAAGGGATGTAAAGTGGGAGCCATTTGAGTCTAATATGTGGATACTTAACTGCTAGGCTGGAATGTCTGTGGTTTTCTATGCTGTTATACATTTCAAGTGCTATAGAACGGGTCAAGGGCAAAGAGGCAAATTTAGAAGGTCAATAGTGAAGAAAGGGAGGAGATGCATGCCCTTGAAAACTCTTAGTACAATCCGAGAGCTCATATGAAAGGACGTGCGCCATGATTTCCTATGGTTTGTGTTGATGTAATTTAAAAGATAATGGAGCATGATTGTCACCAGCTCAGCGTTATTTTCAGAGAAGTTCAAGCTAGGTGTGCAGCCCATCCTGAAGGTCATAGAGGAAGCTTCCTAATTATATCTCATAGGACCAGTCATAGGCGGCTAACTCTAAATGCGTCCGAGGGGAGAAAAAAGTGAACTGACATGTATTCATCCCATTTTGAGTGCTCGCCTTGGGCTATTATTGCTAATACTGCAGACAAAATGGTGAAAGGGACAAACATAGTCCTGGTACGAAAAGGGTAGGATTCCTCCCAGGGAGGCAGATATTAGTTTAGGTTGGGCTCCCCAGAAGCACATTTTTGCTACATTCAAATATCTGAAGGCAAATGCCTTATTTGCGTGGTGATTCCAGGAAATAGGGCTCTGTGGAAATGAGGCCACAAAGGGAAAAAGTCGACGCAAGGCACGTTATCCAGCAGGTTATCAGTGTCATTGGCTCAGAACTCCAGATGACAGTGGGAAACTACCTCACAGGTGTCCTCATCAGGAGGCAAGGTCCATGGCGTGTCCCCCAACCCCTGTCAGTCCTTGGTCAAGGGCTACTGGTGAGGGTGCACTCCCCACCTGTCCCTCCGGTCTGCCCTGTGTGGGGGCTGCTGTGGAGTCAGTGGCTAGACCAAGCTATCCTGAAACTGTTGCTAGTGCTTCCATGTAACGCTGGGTCATCATGCATGGCAGTGAGTTCCAAGAGGGTGTGGGTGGAGCATTGACAGTCTCTGCTACAAATACTAAACAAAAAATGTTAAAGAAGTAATGAGATCACTTACCAGCCCGATAAGCGCTTGCAAAGAAGAAATACCAAGTGCTGGCCAGAGGGTCAGAGAAGGCTTCCCAATGAAAGTGATGGGATGGAGTCTCTACAAAGTCACCAAGGATTGATCAG